GGCAATTGGATTGTTTCTACCCTGTGAGAACCTCACGGGTCATAAACCGCATCCTGAGTTGGTGTGAGACCAGACCATGTTAAGTCATAGGACCCGTCAGGCCCAGTGTCCACGCCTGTAGTCCCAGTGAGTCAGGAGGCTGAGGCGAGAGGTTTGCAAGTTGGAGGCCAGCCTCTACATTTTACCAAGACCCTGTCCTAAAACGACTGAACGAGGGCCAGGGGTGAGCTCAGCTGCAGAATTTCCCTGAATTCCATCCCCTGCACCATCCATCACCCATCAATCAACTTAAATCAGGTGTCCAGGTACAGTGGCCTCTGTTCCCTCAGGAGGCCGAGGCAGGAGGATCACTTGAGGCCACTTGGTGAGGCCCTGTCTTTCAAACAAGGTTAACAGCTTCTGAGGGTTAACGAGGCCCTAAGCGACTTAGCAAGACCCCATCTCACAATAGAAATAAATACATGAGTAGATACTTGGAAAGGGCCATGTCCTAGCTTGGTGGCCCAGTGCCACCAAAAGAAAGGTTAGAATCAAAAAGGCCGTTTTAATAAAGATTGTTGACTGACTGACTGACGGACTCCGCAGGCCAGCTCAGGGGGAAGGGTCTACTGGGGCTTCCTGGATTCAGAGGCTGCGTCTGTGGTCCCAGACCCCATGGCTCTGGGCCCAGGGGAGGTGGGGGACAGGGACAGGCCTGCCCAGCTCGTAGCAGATTGGGAAGAGGGGAGGGGACAGGGCCAGGGCAGGGTGGCCCTCAGGGCTGCCCATTCCTGGGGACCAGGTGGCCTTGGGCCCACTCACCGCCCCGCGTCCACCCCCAGGGAACAAGGCGGACCTGGCCGAGCTCCGGGAGGTGCCGCTGGCCGAGGCCCAGAGCCTGGCCCGGCACTACGACATCCTGTGCGCCATCGAGACCTCGGCCAAGGACTCGCGCAACGTGGAGGAGGCCTTCCTCAGGGTGGCCTCGGAGCTCATCATGCGGCACGGCGGCCCCCTGTTCAGCGAGAAGAGCGGCGACCACATCCAACTGGACAGCAAGGACGTGGCCGAGGGCTGGGGCTGTGGCTGCTGACCGGCCTCTGTCCCCCTCCGCCCCCCTGGCACCTTCCAGAGCTGGGGGAGCCGCGGGGGCCACCCTGTGACCCGCCACCCTGTGATAGGGCAGGTGGGAGCCCGTCCTTCACATGCCAAGACTGGCCTGAGCCCCGCAGGGCCACCCTGTGACCACCTTCTGCCCAGCAGGTGGCTGCCCTCCAGGGAGGTGGCTGGCACCCTAGCTTCTTCCAGATCATTCCGGAACCTTCTGGATCATTCCGGAACCTTCCGGATCATTCCGGAACCTTCCGGATCATTCTGGAACCTTCCAGATCCCTCTGGAGCCTCTGTCTAGAGCCCAGAGAGCAAGATGACCTGGGCAGCCAACTGGACTCGTCCCTCGGGCTGCCCTTCCTCCTCACTGCCAGCCTCAGGCCCCACACTCTGGGCGTGGCTCGTCACCTTATCAGGACCTCGGGTTTTCCTGGTTTTCCATGGAGCTTGTCAAGTGGCCCAAGATTGGGGTCGTGGCCCGTGGCCAGCTGGACACTGCGTTGGCTTGGGGCCCAGGGACTGGCCACTCAGGTTGCACCGTAGCTGATCCGTCAGTGCTGGC